GATGATTCCAGATGGGGATACTGTGACAGCACAGCCTCAACTGGAATATGACACAGCATTAGCCTAACAGCTTTGAAAAATTAACACCTCATGTAAGCACCCAGTGCCGCCCACATTTCCCACCCCCAGTCACTGAAATCTACACTTCCTTCTAATGACTTCTTACAAACAGAACAAAAGCAACAAGTTGAGGTGATGCAGCAAAGATGAGCTCGGGGTCAGCTTCAAATTTGAAATTCAGCTTCATCTTTCAGTGATTATTTGGTGGTAACACACTGTAGCAGACATGTTTCCTGACCTCTGGAAAACTTGGGTTTCTGTTCTATATGATGTGCTTAATACTGACTGCCAAAGCTGCTGAGGTGAAGCACCTAGCCCAGTGTCTGGAATATAGCAGGCGCTTGATAAATGTAGTCTTCTCTCTTTGAATGCCAAGAACGCATGGCCAGAGCCACAAGACCTCCCGGGATCTGGCTCGCCCTTACGGCTCTCCCTCTGGATCACCCTGCTCTACACCTCGATGTATCTGTCCACATCTGCACACAAAGTACCAATGACTGACACCTAGCTTCAGGTCCCCTCGGCTCATTGTTGTTGCCAAACAAGTGGGCACTTCTCCACTTCATGCCTCTCTCAAGAACTACCCAGCACAAGACATCCAGCAAAATCTCTGTTGCAGACAAGCGAATACACCGAGGTACTCACTATAATTTGGGAAGCTTGGTTGAATAATATTCCCTCCACCAAACTCCTTTAATTTACTTTTCTTATTAAAAAAAAGTTTGTTTATTTATTTATTTATTCCTTAAGCGACAGAAAGAGAAACAACGAGACAGGAATTCCCAGTAGGGTCCCAACGCTGCAGTTCACCCTCAGCCCCAGCCGCATAGGTGCCCAGTGTGCTCAGGAAGGTCCCAGGACCCTTGCCACGTGGGTCCAGTTGCATTACCGCTGTCCCACCACCTAGCCCCTCAGTTCTCTTGTCTTCTAAGAAAAGCACCTAAGAAAGGCAGAGAGTAAATGGCTGATGTCAGAGTCCTTGCAGAGCACGACTGTGGGCAAGGACGGGAAGAGACTTTGGGAATCTGTGAGGCCAT